CACTTACGAACTGCAGCAGGAGGTGCAGCAGCAGCAGCAGCAGGAGGAGGTGCTGCTGATGCAGGGGGATCTCCAGCAGCAGCAGGAAGCACAGCAGCAGCAGCAGCAGCAGCAGCAGCAGCAACAGCAGCAAAAACATGCTGGGAGAGACTAGGAGAACCAGACGAACTGACCAGTGGTCTGTCCACTGCTAAAGATGCAGCAATTGCTGCTGCAGATACACCCGAAAGGCTGCAACTTAGATTCAAAAATAGACCCAAACCCTCACAGGTATTCCTCCTGCTGCTGCTGCTGCTGCTGCTGCTGCTGCTGCTGGTTGTGGTGCTGCTGCTGCTGGTTGTGGTGCTGCTGCTGCTGGTTGTGCTGCTGCTGTTGGTTGTGGTGCTGCTGCTGCTGGTTGTGGTGCTGCTGCTGCTGATTGTGCTGCTACTGCTGCTCGTTGTGCTGCTGCTGTTGCCCGTTGTGCTGCTGCTGCTGCTGCTGCTGTGGGTTGTGGTGCTGCTGCTGGTGGTTGTGGTGGTGGTGCTGCTGCTGCTGTTGGTTGTGGTTCTGCTGCTGCTGCTGTTGGTTATGGTTCTGTAGCTGTTGCTGCTGCTGTTGCTGCTGTTGCTGCCGTTATATTTATTGCTGTTGTTTCTGCTGCTGCTGCTGCAGTGTGTTTTCGTTTCTATCTCTTCCCCTTTCTCCTCATCCTTTCCCGTTTCTGCTTCTGCTTCTGCTGCTGCTGCTGCTGCTGCTGCTGCTGCTGCTGTTGCTGCTGCTGCTGCTGCAGGCAGCACTTGCTGCAGAGTCTGTATGGATTGGTCGTCAGCTGCTGCAGGATTTTGCTGCTGATCTATCTATAGAGAAAGTGAGCGAGAGATACGATAAAAGTTTTTGTGGTTTATGTGTATTGAGCCGTTCTGTTGCTGCTGATGTGCAGCAGAAGGTGCTGCTGCTGCTGCAGTTGCTGCTGCAGCAGCAGAACGAAATTATATTTATACTGCAGCAATCCATGCATCTTCTCTCCCCACCACTAACTGAACCAATGGTCTGGAGGGTTTATGAGTTAGATAGACAATACTGGCGGCTGCGAGCAGCAAAAGTAAAGCTGCTGCAGCTGGGTGTAACACT